CGGGGGAGGAGTGGGTGGTGGGGCTTGTAGAGGAGTAGAAACTGTGTTGGGGATCTTTACAGGACCCATAGAAGAAGGCTGTGGAGGAGCCGGAGGCAAGGGAGGAGGAGGAGGTGGCGGGGGCGGCGTTTCTGGAGAAGATGGAGAAATTGGATAAAGCTTGTCATAGGCCTCCCTGTATTGACGAGCAAATTTTTCTAGCGCTCCATATGGAAAAAATTGCCCATGTACATGTTCTTGGTGACTCTTTAAAATAAGAACATTGGAAAACAATTTACCACATGTTCCGCATTCTAGTTTGTCAGTGTTTTCGCCTTCACCACTTTTGCCCTTCTTCTGTACTTTCTGCCTGTTTTCGTTATACTGAATGACCAGTTCAAAACCAAAGTTTTCCAATAACGCTTTGGCAGCATTTCCTCTGGCCCCTGAAGCTATTCGGGGTGGTGGGATGGATGGTTCCAAGGATTTTTGCTTCTTTGTGTCTTTGCCTTCTTTGAGTCCTTCACCTTCACTTACAAATTCCTGCTTTGGTTTTTCTGGCTTTTCAGAAATATCTTCTGCCTCCTTGTAAGATGGCGCATCCTTCATGATTTGGCAGTCTGCACTCACTATGTTACTTTGCTCTTGTTTCAGTAATTTGCTTGCCTGCTGTTGCTGCTGCTGCTGTGGGGGTGGCGGCTGCTGCTGCTGTTTTTGAGGCTGCAGCTGGGGCTGTGAGGTTTGGTATTGTTGTGCTTGTTGCTGTAGTATCTGGAGTTGAGTTTGGCCAACGTGATGTTGGGTTTGAATCTGCTGCTTTAGGTCTTCAAGCAAGGAGCCAGCCATTCCTGTCATGCCAGGCATCCCAAATGTGGCAGAGCCTGGCAAGCCCAAATCTGGCCCCAAGCTAAACTCCGTCCCAGGTATGTAAAATGGAAAGAGAAACTGAGGCTGCTGAAACTGCAGCAGTGCTTCTGGGGTCATAGGAAAATGAGGCAAAAAGGCTGGGTTTAGAAACTGAGGCTGAAAGAATGCGGCTTGCTGTTGTAATTCGTGCTGTAGTTGCATCTGAATTTGTGCTGGTGACTGTGGTGGGTGATGTGTAGGTTGAGCAGAGATTAATTCAGGAGTTTGCTTTTTATTTAATTCTTTGGCATCTAAATGGGTATCTTTGCTGTTTACAGCTGCTAAACTCATGGAATCTAACATCCCTTGGCCAGGGCTGTTAACATTTGCTGCAATGCTGTGCCCACCAGCCACATGACCACCAGGCTCCAGCTTTGCAGCCCTAGCCTTTGTCTGATGAAGCACAGACCTCATGTGGATTTCCAGTGTTGAGCTTTGGCTGTATGCAACATTGCAGATGGTGCACTTGTAGGGTTTGTTATCTGTGTTGCTGTTGGTTTCTTGTGGAACAGGACTGGAGGCTTCCTGCAAAACTTTTTTCAGCTTATGCAAGTGAGAAACTGAATTATAGTGGACCAAGAGAATGTTCTTTTGGGTGAATGACTCTTTACACACTGTACATTTATATGGACGAGATGGATCGAGGAATTTTTCCATTGTAAAATTGGGCCCTTTTCTAAAAGGTAAGGTCCGCTTTGGTTCAGAGCCCATGTCGTCTGGAATAGAGCTACTATCACTTCCTACAGGACTTGCTTTCCCTTCGTGGTCCACCTCGTACTCTCTCTCCATTTCCTGCTCTAGGCCATGGTCATCCTGGGCCATAGTTTCACTCTCTGCCCACAGTTCTCCATTCACGGGCAAGGAGGCATACAGCTGTTGAAGTTCGGCTTCACTCAGTTCGGGGTGGCCTGCTTCCAAGTGTTTTTTTAAAGCCTGGAATGTACGAAAACTGCGCTGGCAGAGGTTACACATTGTCGCAGCCCGAATTGCATGATACTGGGAATGTATCTGAAGCTTCTGCATAGTTTTGAAAGCCAAGCTACAATGGTTACAGCGATACTTATAGACATGGCGGTCAGAAACAGAGAGCGGTTGCCTTTTTTGCTGTTCATTTAATTGATCTTGCAGTGTGTCCGGGATTTTCACATCCTTACTGCTATTTTTATTCCATTCTGAGACTTCTGAGGGTTCTTTAGTTGGTTTCTGCTCCTCATTCTTTACTTCCACATTAGCCTTTGAATCCTCAAGACCTGCCATGCTTTTGTCATCCATTGGACTTTCACCTATTAGGAAAAAGCACAAACATCTCTCTTACAATAAGAAAATCTACTCCTTAAATATTAATTAATATTATAAATAGGGGCCTCTAAAGGCTTCTGCTTAACTAATTCTTTAAAGAAATGTTTACTGAGCAACTACTATGTGGCAAGCACTGGACTGGGTACTGGGAATATAAAGGCAAACAAGAAATCACCTCTGGCCTCAAGAAATTACAGAAAAGGGAAGCAAGTCAAAGGTCATTACAGCTTGCTGCAATTAGTGTGATACTAAGGGCCATCCCTTGGTGTTCATGAATTAGATCACACAGAAGTTTCTTGGGTGTCTGACCCTGAGGTCACTTACAGATAACCAGACATAAAATATGCCTTGGAAAATATGGCTCTTTGAAATGGCATACATTTTTCCCCCATGCTTTACAAAAATCTTTTGATAGTAATAATCTTTGGGCACTACCACAAATGCAAAGCCCCTAAGCTTTGTGTTGTCCACAAGTCTTGATGATAAGATGCATACCTGAATATTTCCCAGACGCCTCAGCTGTCATGGCTGCAGGCATGTCCCGCTCTGATTTCTCAGAGGCAGCTGCTGGCAGTAGCATACTGTTTGGCATCATCACATCAGGGACAGGCACCTTTGAAAACCAAAGGGGTTTATGTCAAATGTACCCCAGAAATCACAAATTCCATCACATCTCTCTTTTGCTGGTAGCATATCCCACTTAAATTTTTTTTTTCTTAACCAAAGCAGGGATGTTTTGTGGATGTTACAGATCAATGCCACACCTTCAAACTTTAGATCAATGCTGTGGCAATGCATTATTATTATTATTATTATGGCTTACAGGTTTCTGTAGGGTTTTTTTTTATAATGATAATGAAGCAAGTTTGAAATGCAAGGTGCCCACTGGGGTTATTTGATGAACATTATAGATATAAAAAGAAGACTGCAAAATAATGTTCTTTACTAAGCGATGCCTTGTTCTATATTTTTTCCAAGCAAAAGAGGTCACATATGGGCCTTGAGTGTGATTACTATAACATGAGCAATAACAGAACTGTAAGTAGCTCTGAAGAAATACAATATAATATAAACAATATAATATAAACCAATAATTACAGATTTTATATTGACATTCTTAACACAGATTTTGTCACACATGCATCAATATTTGGTATCCTTACTGTCATAAGCAGCTTCTCAACACAATCTGGAGACACACTGTGCAAATGTGTCAGATGCAGCTGGAGATGCATTTTGTTGCTGAGGACGTCCTGGCAGAGAGGACAGCAGATGACCGGCTGCACCGAGTGCTGTGATAGGACATGCATCTGGATACGACTTTGGTCCCTACTATTGTAGTTACAATAAGGACATTGATAGAACTGGAAAATATTGAATAAACATGGCCACTATTAGTTAATGCAGTTCTCATTTGATACATAGTAGTTGCATTTTGGGGGTACATGTGATATTTTGATACATGCTTACAATGTGTAATAATCAAATAAGGGTAACTGGGATATCCATCACCTCAGACATCCATTATTTCTTGTACTGAGACCACTTCAAATCTTCTCTTCTAGCTATTTGAACATAGTTAATGTATTCTGATGACTTTAGAACATCAGAAGTAATACCGTGAGTTAATCATATTGCCAACTGCAATGTCTACATACATTTCAACAGCATGGAATCATTTGGGGCTTTAAAACTATCAGGAGCAATAAAAAATAAAGATTTACACAATAAAGGAGAAAAAAGTATTTACCTGTTCATGACAGAATTTATTGTCCTCTGTAGGTTTTGACTTTTTTGTTGCAACATCCTCTTCTTTTGCCAGCAGGAGTGGCTGGGTACCCCCTGCCACACTAACTTTTAGTTCCTTCTCTGGTATGATTATCCCTGATTCCCAAAAAAGAATAGAACAACTCAATTTAAAAACACAATTTCAAAATGAGAAGAATTATGTTTTTCAAACAGTTGTGATTCTAAACACACTGAATCACAAAAAGAACCTATAAGCAGTTTTAAATAATGTTAATCTCAAAAGGCAATAAGAACACTTCTTTTTGTCCACTGACTAAGTGGACTATATAAATGTATTTTAAAATGTACTCCTGTTTCATGTTTAGATAACCCTAGGTGGCCTTGAAAGATTCATCAATAACACATGCTCTCTGGTGTCTCAGAATGCCTTTACCACATTAAAGCAAATCTACTCCCTTTCACAAATACTAACTTAAAAAATCATTATTTCCACTAACATTTAATTACCTATCTCTTTTCTGAAATTCTTTAACGCTTAAAATATTTCAACATTCTGAGAAGGGTTGACTGACTATAATTCAGAAATTCAAATAATAATAATTTTATGTCATGAATGGATTTAAAAATGGAAAGGATTGTAAAATTAATCACATATATCTGCTGCTGCTATTAGTGATTTACTCTTTGCTGTAGATATTTCAGCAGTTGGCTGTACATATAACATTTAGTACAAATCTCAAGAAGACAATGGTTTTATGAGGTTAATCCAAATATTTGTGTTAAAAATGATTTCAAATTTTGCCTAGACCAGCAGTGTAATGTGTAGGAGCCTCATACACATCAAAGAAAAGAGTGCAATTCTAATTTCCCAGTCTAACAGAAAATTCTTTCCAGCATCAATTTGCCCAATAATCTCCTCTGCAAGGCTAGATATTACAGCGACATTGGGTAGGCATGTCACATACATCTCACGACAAACACAAAACCTCATTTACCAGCCATTCCAATCTCATCATAGCATGGCATCATCTGACCTTTTTTCTGCTGTTTATTATGAGTATTTCTAATTTTAACTTTCAATTTTCACCATCTTCCAGTCAATTTGCAACTAAATTATTTCCAGGGTGAGGACACTATCACTGGACAACTGGGTGCAAATACATCTTGAAATGCAATGAAGCTAAACCATTGATTGCTATCAGACCCCGCGTAAATATATAGTCCAGGCGTAATCTGATTGTATGCTGTGCATGAAGATTTATCTTGATTTTTTTTCAATCCACATACGGTTCATATAAATGAACAAATTGCACCTTATTGCAAAATAACCCAGTTTTAATTTAAAAATAAGGTCAAGGATGTTATGGAAACAAAGTAAAAATAAACAAAAGAAAATACATTCTATTTCAACTGTGAAGAGAGATGCATGTTTTATACCTTATAAATAATTTCAGAAATTTCAAATTCAGAAAGAAATATAAAAGCAAGAGTGATTCCATGCAGACTAAAATTAAAATATAATTTAAATGACATCATGACAATAATTTTATTCTCTTGTGGTTCATAGTAGACAGAGAATTAATGCAAAGTTTTCATCAGATTACACTAATACTGATTTCTAGATTTACAAGCACTAGAATTTATTTGAGTTGGTACATTTGTCTACATATATATATATATGTTGGAGACATTTAGGTTATTTCTAAATATTTGAAAAAATAATTTATGATATTTGAATTTGAATGAACTTAAATCCAAGAAAGACTGAAAAGCTTCATTACATTGATTAAAAAATGCCCAAGTATTTGATATCAAAAGATACATCAAAATAGGAAAGTCATAATTCCTATTTTCTTGTCATAATTAACTCTGGAATAAAAAAAAATGTTGCTTTCTCAAAGCTGAATATGCTTTGGAATACTGTTTTAAAAGTGTTAAAAAACAAACATTTAAGAAAGCTATGATATATTTTGAAATAAATCTTACTGCTTAAAGTGTCAAACTAAGTTGTATAAAATTATTGCCATTTAAATCAACCAATGTCTATCAATTGCCTTCTCCTGTGAGATGTTTCTTTAAAAGTTCCCACACTAATAAGTAAGAATATGTTTCCTTAGGAGAATAATACTCTGTCATATCCCCTTATCATTCTTTTGCGTACATGGTGGAATTGGACATGAACGATAAGTTGATCTGGGTCTCTGTGCTATCAAAGACTGTCACACACAAGTTAAAAGAGAATTTCCATGACTTTGTTGCTTGCAGACCCTTTGGATCATCAGAAATAGAATAAATATTTCAGAAACTTCTAAATCTATTAAATGTATAGCTATGAACTCATTTCCATAAGCATATATAATGTGTATTTTATTCTCATATTGAGACTGTCAGAGATCAAAAAATGTACTGATTTCAAGATCTGGAATATTTTACTAAGCCTACACACTAGTGTGCATAATGTATAATTGATACCATGTATATTAAGAATTATTTATTGGGCTGGGCGCGGTGGCTCAAGCCTGTAATCCCAGCACTTTGGGAGGCCGAG